CGGGGCACAGAAATCCGTCCAAAAAAAAAAAAAAAAAAGTCAAAAAGTCCCTTTGGCCGTAGTGTCCCGCCTGGATGTGAAAGTCTGCAATTAAAACCGGCCTCGGTTTGTTTCTCTTATTTTTGGCAAAGGGCAGTGGAATTTTTGGGACTCCATCCTCCTCCCGCACAGGCAGCACCAAGGCTGGGGTGGCTTCGCCCGGCGCCTGGGCTGCGGCACTGGTCTTGAGTGTGCAGCCACCAGCCCCGCTGCCCTTCCCGCGGCCCTTCCCAGCCCCTCTCCTGCGTTTTCTTAGTCGTTTCTAGCTATTCTCATTATCTCTGTTTTTCCAGACAATAGAAAATATCAAAGTCTATCTCCATGAGAAGGAGCTATGGAAGAAATTTCATGAAGCTGGCACGGAAATGATAATAACCAAAGCAGGCAGGTTAGTGAAAATTCCCCACGAACATGTATTGCTTCTGAGCTGTATGAAATGTCCTTGTTTGCCGAGACCTGTTTTTGCATAGCTACCACAATCTGTGTCATTTAAAAAAATTATTATTGTGATTGTGGATTTCAGTAAGATCATTTTTTCAGTGTAAACTGTGCATGTGTTTGCGTGTGGCAACGAGATTGTGGATGCAAGAAAGAGTTGTGGAATCATTCGCCACCTTTAGTTACAATACGCTTCGGTAATTCTTAATTTTATTATTTGTTTTTCTTAAGATGTTAGCATGATTGTGGCTCTACTTTTTTTTTTTTTTTCCCCAAAGTAAACCCCACTCCCCTTTTCTGCACAGTGCACTAAGACCTGTGCTGAGATATTTCTCACCAAAATTTGAGCAATATAAAGGCTTAGACTGTGCTTTTAATCTGAAAACTGAAAGAGAGACGGGTACCAATTTTATGCTGTTAGGTGTGGAAAAAAATTTGCCTTTCCTTGGACAGAAACAATGATTTTTACCAAATCAGAGCCTTCTCAGCGTGCAGTGCACACCCAGGCCGGGGCGGGAGGGAGCCCGGTGGCTCGCAGAGGGTTTCCTTCCCTGGGGAACCCATCCCTGCGCCTGCTCAGGGCTCCCTTCCCCCCCCGGGCTACTCAGGTGGGAGATGGCAGAATTATTGTGAGAAAATTAAACATGAGAATTAAACCTCAGACCATCACCAGCCTGGCAGTCAGACGGTTCCCAACAAAACTAGCCAGCTCCCACTGTGGGCACCGAAATATCTGCCCTTGGCTTCTGCGGCAGCGCGCTCTCATTGCTGCCGCTGGAAAAGAAAAATTACCAGACTTAGGTATTAAAATTAATTTAATTCTATCAGAGCTGTGTGGTTCTGCCATGCCCTGCGGTTGCTGATTTTACACTGTTCTAGAGAACTGCAGAGGAGGACACTCAAATAATGGGGAGCAAGCAGAAAAACAATCTCACAATATCTATACAGTCCTCGTGGTCTCGGATCCTTTGTGCAGGGCAGGCGGGAGGGAGCGAGGGAGGGAGGGAGGGTGTCTTTTCTCCCCTGTTTGCTGCTCACACTGCGAGACCTGGAGCCAGCTCCCGGCTTTGGATTTGGGGGGTGATGAGCGATTTCCCGCTCCTTTCCCTCGTCCCCGGCAGTGCTGCTCTCTGCAGCAACTGGCCGGCGTGGGGAAGCTTTACTCTAATAACCAAGATATTCCCATTAGTCCCCCTGGAGAGGGGGTGTATGTCGCGGGGATCTTCAATTTGTTTGTTATTTGGCCTATTTATGAAGCGATTGTGCAGGTAACTCTGTCCTTATCATGCTGCGTTTTGGTGTATAAAACCTTAGGGCTCGTTCTGTAGCGTCTACTGATATGAAGAGCCGGATTCATTTTGATAGGTCTGCTACCTAAGTCAGCTAAGACGAGGGGATCAAGACCTCAAATATTTCACCCTTAATTTATAGTATCTGAGTGTGTCTGTGCGGGACGTGTAATATCTTTACCAAATTCTAGACCCTAAGCATCCCAAATGTGCATGTTATCTCTTTGTAAGTCTTAACGTAGATTGTTTAAACAAATCCATATGTATAGGGCTCAGTCCCACATTCTTTGTCCGGCGGAGCTGGCAGTGCACACGTAGTCACCTTTCAGGAGCGTGTGGATGGGACTGAGGGGATGGGAGGGATTGACCCCGAGACGTACAAAACTTTGGTTTTGAAGTTACCAAGCCAAATTCTCCATTTGTGAAAATCAGTGCAGCACCAGCAAGATAACAGCATTCTTATTTTTTTATAAATAGTTTTAAATTAAAAAAAAAAAAAAGGCTGAAACGCTGATGAAACAGAACAGTCACTTTGTTTCTTTTCTCTGCGCCCAGCTGCAAATGATGTCAAAATAAAGGGCAGCATTTTTTTTTTGTTATCGGTGTTAGCAGTGAGTCCAAAGGCTCCCCAGCCCTGCAGCCCGTTCCGCGGGAGCGCAGCCCACCGCGCTGCCGGGCCAGGGGCGACGGACGCCACCGCGCCGGGGACACGCCGGTGCCCGGACCCCGCTCCCTCCCGCCCTGTCCCGGGTCGGGCTCTCTAGCAGCACCGAAAGCAAAAATGCCCCAGATAATTAGCGTGAGGACGGCAGAACTAATCGAGCAACTTAAATCCCGCGGGCGCTCAAGTCTCGCCGTTCTCACCGAGCGCCGGACTGAGCCACCCGTGTCCGTGCCGAGCCCGGGACAGCCCCAAAACAGGACTGTGCCCTCATCGTGATGCAAATGACGAAATGAAAATTCTTACTCCACGCAGATTTTATTTTGCCCAAGCTATTTAAACAAAGAGGAGCAATAATAAACCTCCTCTTGACCCAATTAAAAAAAAAAAAAAAAAAAAGACGGTTAATGGAGATTTGTATGCACTTGCATTTAGCATGGGAGGGGTGGGGGGAGAAAAGGGAAAACGGCTAATTGCAGGCACTAATTAGGACTCTAATCCCCCTCCCAGCAGGCACAGAGATGCCCCTGAATGCAGTTAGTTGAAATCACTTAAATGTCGGTCTGTCTGACCTCAAGGGGCACAAACGAAAAGAAATTGAAGTCTGATTTTTAAAATTCAAACAACAACAACAAAAAGTGACTTTAATGACAAGTTCACTCAATGGAGAGGAAATGTAAAGCTCAGCGGAAGCGTTAATTCCATGGCAATGGTGTAAAATAGCCTTTTTGTATAAACAAGGCAAATATTGATAACTTAGTGGGGGGGAGAGGGGGAGTCATTTGTTTCATTCTTTGTAGAGCTCCACAGAACGAGCCAACTATAAATTATCGAGAATTTAGGGCTGAGAATTACTTTGGGGGATTATTACTCCCTCTTAGGACTGATCTGTAGGAGACATTAGGAGAACACAGCAAGCTCAGCATTGAAATAGAAATCATGTTGTTGCCAAGAAAGCTTGATTTATAAAGTGGAAACATCTTTAAAATGCACTCGCTATCTTTTTAATGTTCGACTGCTTCATTGTGGGAGGGAAGAAAAAAAGAGATTATTTTATATTAAAAGGATCATCAAAAGATAAAAAGTTTATGTTAGCAAAGTTCAGGGAACTCTGCGTAAAACCGCTCGCCTCCTTCAGCCGCAACCCCCTGCCCGTCGCAGCGCCCAGAGGATGCGGGGCTGAGCTCCATAAATCAGAACCTTCCCTTGTTCCTCCTATTTGAGGTTTGTCCTAATTACGAATTTCTACTCCAGAGGGTTTTCTGTTGCCGGGTTTGAAAGCCTGAGCGATGTGTAGCGCAAAATTTGCCCGGTGGCGGCCGCTGCCCGGAGCTGTAGGTACCTCCGGGCTGCCTCCAGCGGCGCGGAGCGGAGCGAGCAGAGAACCGGCCACGCGTGATGCCTTTGCGGCGTTTTGCAGAGCAGATTTTTGGGAGGGCGGCGTGGCTGCCCGTTTGCAGCTGAGCCCCCGTTGTCTCAGCCCCGGCGCGGCGGCTGCAGCCGCCCCCGGTCCCGCTCCCCGTTCCCCGGTCCCAGCGTTTCCTTCCCGGGACGGGTGAATGAACCCAGCGCCCATGTGGAGCTGTGCGTCTTGTGTTTACACATAAGGCTATAATTGTTCACAAATCCTCCCATTTATCAAAAAAAAAAAAAAAATTAAAAAGCATTTTCTAGGCGGTGAGGTCCCGTTAAATCAAATTAATAAAATCGATATAGATGGTACTAAAGGGGACAGGGTGTATTAGAGGGTGGAGGTGCGGATGTACAGCTGGAATGCCTTCCTTCGCTCAGCCCCGCTGCGCTGTGCGTGGCACTGGGTGTGCGGTGGGCTCTGCGCAGCCCTGGCAAAGCGCACACCTTTCCTCTCCCGCTGGAGTTTGGGCATTCTGCAGTGATGAAGCTGTATGAGGGGTGGCTAAAGCAGGAAGCAAACGAGAGAATTCATTATAACACTTGCTTTCCAGTTTCATCTTCTCACTCTTATGTGCTGTTACTTAACAACCATATTTTTTTTTTTTTTGTAACCTTGTGGCAATCCCCACTTCGTCTTTCATAATTCTTTGTGAAATCTCATCTTCCAGACCTTATTTCTGCAGAAAGTTAATTTTTGCATATACAGTCTTCCTGGCTCAGGATTTATTTCTTTCTGTCAGTTTTTATTTAGCTCTAGATGTTCCCTTAGTTTTTTCCAAGGTGCCAGTCTTTGCAGCATTGCAGTTCCTCTCCAGATACTGCCAGGGACAAACAATTTGATGCAGCTTATGACTAACCAGTAAAAAATACCAGGTCACAGGATGTCTGCTCTCATTTTCGTGAACAGTTACTGAAGAGAAACGACTCTGTAATTCCTCTATGGTAGCACAACCACGCCGGTGATGTGAACAGGAGGCTTGGGATACTGAAATTGCGTTTTGGCTGGAGTGCAGGATGTGCACAGGTACAAAGATAGCTTCAGTCTTTATGGTAGCAGGTTTTAAGAAGCATATGTAGGAAAATATTGCACAGGAAAAAAAAAATCAATAAAGCAGCTTACATGTGTGGAAAAGACGCAAACCCCCTTTAGATGTTCAAGTTTCATTTTAAAAGTGGCTTATTTCAGTTTAAAAAAATCTGTTCCTAATCAACTTTAGTAAACCAAAATAAAACTAGTTTTTAGGACATCAAGGTCTGAAGAAGTATAAATGCTTTGGCTAAGCTGGTGCAGCTTTCCTCTGTGAATAATCCTTTAAAAGTTAAATTTTCCATGGCTCTGTAGGGCATATGGATGCCCAGTTCTCATTACAATTAAAGGGAAATATTTGTCCAGAATCTTTTGAGGCAGTTACAAGAATCTCTGCTAAAGGTTTTTGATCCAAAAGCAAACCTTAATATCCGAGATCAGTGATGGAATGTAAGCCATCAATTTAAAACTTGGAAATAAAGTAGATATTTAAGGAATGTTTGATCTGCTTAGTCCTAAATTTGGGGTCCTGGAATTACCCTGTTAGGGCAAACGCCTGC